GGTAGTCTTCATGGGACTCCTAGCGTCAAAGTATGGTATCGGTCCAACCGAAGAGAAAGACCGTGCTGTACTTGAATCAAGCCGCCCAACCACGCCAATAGAGGTTAGAAGTTTCCTGGGGATGGTCAGCTTCAGTGCTCATTTTATCCCAGCTTTGCCACCGTTGCAGAGGCTCTGCGAGCGAGCTCCAGGTAGGTAGTACCCTTTGTATGAGGCAGTCGGCAGGAAGCGTCGTTTCAGGAAATGAAACAGCAGTTAGCTAGTGCGCCTGTTCTGGCATACTTCGACAAAGAGGCAAACTCTCGAGTGATAGTTGATGCACGTCCTGTGGGGCTAGGTGCAGTGTTAGTCTAGGAGAATAATGGTGAGGGTAGAGCTGTTTGCTACGCCAGCAGGAGCCGTAGCAGTGCAGAGAGGAGGTGTAGCCAGACCGAAAAGGAAGCGCTTGCATTAGTGTGGGCATGTCAACGGCTCAACTTATACTTCTACTGCTTGCAGACGTTTGACTTGGTGACAGATTATGAGGCTCTGAAGGTTATTTACTCTAGAGGATCCAAGCCTTCAGCACGCAACGAGCGCTGGGTGTTGAGGCTGCAACAATATAATTACAAGGTGTGCTGCGAGATAATATTACTGACGCCCTGTCACGTTTGACAACGCCCTTAGCATCAGAGAAGTGTCGTTATGACGATGAACATGTTCGAACGGTTGCGTTTAAAGCAGTTCCTGTAGCCATTAAGATCCAAGAGCTAGAGAGTGCCCCCGCAGAGGATGAAGAGTTGCAAGCATTGCGTAATTGCCTTACTAGAGGAAACTAGGAGAAGGGCCCAGGGTCATTCATGATGGTGCGTAACGAGTTCACCTTCATTGGTCAAGTTATCCTGCGTAGAACACGAATTGTGATACCCAAGGTGTTGAGGCCAAGGGTTGTGGAACTTGCGCACGAGGGTCACCAGGGGATAGTGAAATTAAAGGAGAGACTCAGATGTAAAGTATGGTGGCTGGGAGTTGATAAGGATGAGGAACGGAAGTGCCGGGATTGTTACGGCGTCAACTGGTTACAAAGGAGACGATGAAGTTGCTTCTTCAGTTGCTTCATGTGAGGGATAGGAATTTCTCTTGCCTTTAACTGAGCAAAGGGTGTAGCATTGTGTTTTAGATTGATCTTAAATGATTCACCTGACATTGCAGGGAGAACAGTTTCATCAAAGACTTCTTCATAATCATGCACGAGAGAANAATAGAGGTTAGAAGTTTCCTGGGGATGGTCAGCTTCAGTGCTCATTTTATCCCAACTTTGCCACCGTTGCAGAGGCTCTGCGAGCGATCTCCAGGTAGGTAGTACCCTTTGTATGAGGCAGTCAGCAGGAAGCGTCGTTTCAGGAACTGAAACAGCAGTTAGCTAGTGCGCCTGTTCTGGCATACTTCGACAAAGAGGCAAACACTCGAGTGATAGTTGTTGCACGTCCTGTGGGGCTAGGTGCAGTGTTAGTCCAGGAGAATAATGGGGAGGTAGAGCCGTTTGCTACGCCAGCAGGAGCCGTAGCAGTGCAGAAAGGAGGTGCAGCCAGACCGAAAAGGGAGCGCTGGCATTAGTGTGGGCATGTATATACTTGTACTGCTTGCAGACGTTTGGCTTGGTGACAGATCACGAGGCTCTGAAGGTGATTTACTGTAGAGGATCCAAGCCTTCAGCACGCGACGAACGCTGGGTGTTGAGGCTGCAACCATATAATTACAAGGTGTGCTGCGTTGCATCACGAGATAATATTGCTGACGCCCTGTCACGTTTGACAACGCCCCTAGCATCAGAGAAGTGTCATTATGACGATAAACATGTTCGAACGGTTGCGTTTAAAGCAGTTCCTGTAGCCATTAAGATCCAAGAGCTAGAGAGCGCCCCCGCAGAGGATGAAGAGTTGCAAGCATTGCGTAATTGCCTTACTAGAGGAAACTAGGAGAAGGGCCCAGGGTCATTCATGATGGTGCGTAACGAGTTCACCTTCATTGGTCAAGTTATCCTGCGTAGAACACGAATTGTGATACCCAAGGTGTTGAGGCCAAGGGTTGTGGAACTTGCGCACGAGGGTCACCAGGGGATAGTGAAATTAAAGGAGAGACTCAGATGTAAAGTATGGTGGCTGGGAGTTGATAAGGATGAGGAACGGAAGTGCCGGGATTGTTACGGCGTCAACTGGTTACAAAGGAGACGATGAAGTTGCTTCTTCAGTTGCTTCATGTGAGGGATAGGAATTTCTCTTGCCTTTAACTGAGCAAAGGGTGTAGCATTGTGTTTTAGATTGATCTTAAATGATTCACCTGACATTGCAGGGAGAACAGTTTCATCAAAGACTTCTTCATAATCATGCACGAGAGAAGACAATGGGTGGTGGCGAAGAAGTACCAATCACATTAACTTGGTGTTGTACTTGGTGTTGTGATGTACCACTGGGTGGTACATCCACTTCAAATTGGTCTACAGGTCATCATCAGAAGGTGCAAGGATAGCTTCCGGGTTGCTGGTTTCTGAGAGAAGTTCAACATCTACTATTATACAAGGTGTAGGCTGGACAGGGTCTGCTTCAAGTGTCAATGCAGTTGAAGGTGACGGTTTGACATTTTGTGTCAGGTTAGATAGGGGCCATTGGTGATCAATAACACCCAGAGCACGGCACACAGAAGTGCCAAAGTACAACTCCATCTTCACCATGGACAATGTTAAACCACTGATTAACAAAGAGGATTGGGTCCTCTGGGGCCAGGAAATCTTTAAAAGCACACGTCCTTCAATATCAAGGCTATGTCTACCAGCAGCAAGAGCCACACTCAAGGGCATAGTTCCAATCAGGAGTTTCAAAGCAAGTGATCCAGTCATAACTAACACAGTTTATGTTGGCACCAGGATCAACCATGCAGCGTTGGATCCAGTTGTGATTTCCAATGACAAAATCAGCATAGCAGCGAGATCGAACACTTAGAATAGCAGAAAGGTTGATGGCTTTAACAGATGCTGTTAGGCTTATTTGAGACTTGGCATCAGCAGAAATAATCTGAAGGGAAAGATTTCCAGGAAATCTGAACTGAGCTGGATGCAGGCTTTGCAAATAGAATCTTTCGCAGTTCCTTTCGGAAAACACGGACCCTCATACAGAATTTGCACTTCCTAGGGTCGTCTTCTTGTGAATCAGCAAGAGATGCACTGTTTCTGTTGCGGTTGTTATCTGACTTGTTTTGTTGGCAGGCAGAAGCAACAGTTTTTTTTATTTGAGAAGAAAATTGATTTGCTTGGAATGAAGTAGCTTCATCAACTTGAACATGCTTCAGGGCCTTCTCAAGAGTTAGATCTTTGATACACAGAAGACCCTTACAAACCTCATTAGACCTTATGTCAGCCTTTAATCTTGCACTGAGAATACTATCTTTACATGACATCCTAGCTTCTGTCTTGCAACAATCTTCGAAGTGACATTTATTCAATAGGGTTTGCAAATCGGTGTAAAATTCTTCAAAAGACTCATTTGTCCCTTGGGACCTGTTGTGAAACTTGTATTCATGAACAAAGATACCTGAGCTGCCACATACCTGGATTTGAANAATGGGTGGTGGCGAAGAAGTACCAATCACATTAACTTGGTGTTGTACTTGGTGTTGTGATGTACCACTGGGTGGTACATCCACTTCAAATTGGTCTACAGGTCATCATCAGAAGGTGCAAGGATAGCTTCCGGGTTGCTGGTTTCTGAGAGAAGTTCAACATCTACTATTATACAAGGTGTAGGCTGGACAGGGTCTGCTTCAAGTGTCAATGCAGTTGAAGGTGACGGTTTGACATTTTGTGTCAGGTTAGATAGGGGCCATTGGTGATCAATAACACCCAGAGCACGGCACACAGAAGTGCCAAAGTACAACTCCATCTTCACCATGGACAATGTTAAACCACTGATTAACAAAGAGGATTGGGTCCTCTGGGGCCAGGAAATCTTTAAAAGCACACGTCCTTCAATATCAAGGCTATGTCTACCAACTTGTATTCATGAACAAAGATACCTGAGCTGCCACATACCTGGATTTGAAAAGCTTCGATGATAGCATTCATATCTTAGAGCCCTAAGATGTTCATTCGTTTGACAGTGTCGTCACTAAGGACGTTTGTAAATAGAGCTCGCTGGGTTTCTCTTGAAAGGTCAGCGAAAGTCGTGATTGTCACTGCATAGTGCCATCGCTGTTTCCAAATTTGGAATCTGTCTGGAGTACAAGTAGAAATGCATAGCTATTTCAGAAGAAATAAATGGGAGGTTTGGTACGTTTGTTGTTACCGAACTCGCACTAGCCTCATCGGGACGTGGTGAAGTTCACCTTGGAGGCATACCTTTCATAGATTGCCCTGGATCAAAGAAGATGAAGCATTAACGTTGATCGATAGCGATCGGCCAGCTGCACACAAATATTGGCTGCCGAAAAGTGGAATTGAGTTGCTACAGACTCAGTTCCTCGTAAAATCCCCACGAAAAACGGGAACGGTCTCCAGAAACTTGTGTGCAGTGGAGGTTTTCGGTGGTAGCCCGATAGTGAGCAGGTTAAGAAGAAAATTCCACAGAATTATACCTGGTGACTACGCCATGTCAGATAGACGAGACCAAGTCGTCTTGGGGTCGGCCCCAGTCCCCTAGTAGGTAACACAACACAACATTCCTCTCTACCGTTATGCCTTATGTCTGTGTTTGCGGTTATGGCGTAGTGAAAATTTTCCTTAAGTTTCTTACTTTCGGTTTTCTTCAGGACGAACATCAGACGAAAATCTTTCTTTAAGTAAATGCTAAAGATCTTACTCTACACGAAGATATTTGCACATGCGGTGTAGCCAAAAACTCTTTTCTTTCCAATTGGCAGCTGTCAATCTCGCTGACAACAGATGTCAATTTGGACCTCTGGAAGTCAATTTTTGTCAATTTTTTTAAACAAAAATTATTTTCTAAACGACATCCTGTTATTCCCGAAATTGTTATTTCACAAAACGTATTGCCCTAATGCATGGGAGAGAGAATAAGTGTTTCCTAAGCCGGCCGATTTGTTGCTAACTTCAGAATTTTATTCGACTTATGAATTCGTTGGCAATTTTTGGTAACCAATAGTGATGGCTAATTTTTATATACACGTAACACTGATGCCATCACTGAGGACTGGACAAGCAAGACTATGTCTTTTTAACTTCAGTATCTGCAAATAAAGGTATAATTAAATTCCTTGGTGGACGATTTGTTGTTACCCTCTAAATGGCTACTTCAAACTGTTTATTGTGTCTATTCAGTTTAGAAAGTAGCTGTTTTAAGCTGTAGACCAATTTCTTGGCAGTTTTAGTCAATGAAAAAGAACCATTTAATATTAGTAAGTTCGTTACATAGTGAGACCTTATTTTTGCATGCACGCAGGAATCTCTGTTGTAAGTCTTTTGTACCTCAGAATGTGCAAATAAAACAAATTACCTTCCTAGTTGGACGACGTTTTATTACTTTTGAAACATAACTTATTGTAATCATTTCGCGGAAAGTAATTGTTTCCAAAGGCCAGTAAGTTCTTGTCAGTTTTTATTTCAATCAATCTATTGTTAGCTGAAGAGTGGTTATTACAACTAAACGATGGATGACAAAAAAGAACAATTTCGAAAACAGTTTGCATCACATGTTATTCAAATTAATTTCTAACTGAAAAACAATTCCCTTAGTAACAAATGACAAACCCTTTTGTCCTCTTTTGCTAAAATCTTCGTCTTTGTTTCTTTCGGGCAAAACATTAGCATTAAATTTTACTTTGAAACTTCAAAAACGTTTCTTAGTCGGAACACTATTTCTGGTTGATGTTGCGTTCAATAAACATTCTATTCTGAGGACGAATTTCCGGTTTTTTTCAATGGGCGAAAATATTTCATTAGCTGGTAGATATTTAGAAGTCTTCCCTAGACAAATAAAGTTGGGCATGCGCTGTTTCCAAACTTTACAGGTGCGAGCAAGTCCTGTTAGTTGTAAAGTGAAATTGAATAATACTTTTCTTCAATGTACAGGTGTCAATTTTATAGTCAATTGCGGATTCGTGTTTAAAACTTTTAAAAAGAGGCACTGCCACAGATAACATTCAGTTCTCCATACAGATTTGGCCTGTTAAGAAGGTTTCACTAATCGCCGAGGATATTTAACAAGAGGCTACACTGCAGTAAGTTTTGCTGTTTGTGGGTTTTACATTGTTAGAAACTTGGTATTATCATGGTATCTGCCTGTAATTCCATGCACCCACTCGGGGTAACTGAAAGGAAGATTTTTTTAATCGTAGTTTTTGGTTTTGTGAAACGGTGAAGCGCTTAAAATATTTTTAATGGCAGAATAGGAATCACACCTTTTACCTTTAAACTCATTGTTACACTCAGTACCGTAGATTAGTTTAGGATGTGCAATTTGATGAGAATTTCGCGTTCAGTTGCTTTCTTTTTGTATGGAATACAACTGTCTCGTGAATTTGTTTCGGCGTGCGAGAGAGCAAGAGAGGATGGGCCAGGAAGTCCCATCGTGATTACGCCGCCTATGTATAAGACAACTGCTTGTTGGACTTTGAAAGTAAAGAATGGGAAAACGGGTAAAATCGACTCTTTGTTAGCCAGTTACATGGATAATGCTTTAAACGAAAGTTTCCCTTTAACAATGACTTGGTCACACAAATGACCAAAGCAATTTTACAAAAGAGCAAAATAGTTAGAAAAAGGGTTTCAATGCAGGGGAACAGGGACGTTGTAATAGTAAGAGCACTCGCCCCCAACCGACGTGGCCCGGGTTCGAATCCGTTTTGGTGTCCGATGTGGGATGAGTTTGCTGTTGGTTTTCTCCTTGCTCTTAAGATTTTGCTACAGGAAAGCCAACATTTTCAAATTTCAATTGAATCTGGATAGAGAACGCACACGAAAGCCACTTAGGACTGATGTGGCTTCTTCTCTTAAAATAATTTTGTTTTAATGATTGTATTAGTAAAACTTGACAGTCATCAAGAAACATTTCTTTAATATGTTATCGTGGATCGACGGACGGACGGAACGGAAGTTTAACTCCTGGTTAGAGGGGTTTTTGTTCTTGCAAATTTTGAAAACGAAATGTACGATCGGTGACTGTTTATTCATGCGCTCCTCTTAGGAATAATTTTGGCAACTGTTCCTGTATGTGTCTGATATTGCCGTAGCAGCCACATGTTGATACTCCTGTTAAGCCAAATGTCATTTTTTTTTGGCGCACGTCCTCGACTTTTTCTCTTGAACAGCATTGCAGAATGTAATTATTACTTTCTGTACATTCACTTATCATTCAGAATAAAAAAA